CAAGATTTCACCCCTACAATTACTTATTTGTTGGGACAATAATCCATGGGAAGGATTAATTTGAGGATGAGGAATTATCACACTGACTCGCTTTCTTCCTTCCCCTTCTTAGTTCAAGAGAAACCTTTTAGCAATAAAGACAATGAATCACCATTCCAAAGAAACAATATAAATAAAAGATTTCTTCTCAAAATTCTAATTTAGGATTATCGTATCCTACTCTTTGTAGACCACAAATCTCTTATCTTAGTTCAAGATATCTTTATTCTCCTCAAACATATTTTTTTCCCTACAACCTTCACTATAATCAATAATAGAACTTGTTCAAGTTCCCAACATTTCTCAATTTTTGCATATCAAAACCAATGAACACCTATTTTATATTTTGAAATTCTCGAGAGAACTTCATAATATAGTTTACATAGTTTATAAATATAAACTATATTTTTTTCTAAAACATAAATTTCATAGGTATTATTAAACACATAGAAAATTTTAAACAACAAACGTGAATTCTAAAAATTAAAAAAAAAAAGCTTAAAATTGAGGAAATTTAAAATGTAATTATTAATTCAATTAAATATTCTTTACAAAAAATTGAAAATCTGGAAAATCTAGAAGTAGTTGAAAATGCCCAAATTTGACAAGTTTTTTTCTCACACTTTCTCAAAATCCAAACAAAATAAGAAATTGAGGTAAAACATTTGTGAATAGTACTCTTATTGCTCGAATTTCAAAAGAGTAGAAAAGAAAAGGATTCGGATGCGTTAGTTTATGGAGAAATTATCTTTCTCTGAAACCAAAAGGAAACAGCAGAAAGTTTTTAATTTAAAAAGAGGGAAAAGAAACTAGGGTTTACCGAGAATCAAAATTTATCTTCAATAGAGAAGGTGACTAAAATTTTGAGTTGCAAAAGGTTGTTTGTCTTACGTTCGTTCTATTGAATGAAAGTGAGATGATAATAAACTGTTGTCTGTTTTATTGAAAGAAAAGGAAAATTAAACAATATTAAAAAAAAGTAAAGAAAAGAAATTACTAGAACATAATTCTTATGAAATTGCATTTTTTTTTATTTTGTAATTTTATATCATGACTTTCATTTACACATGGGATGTGGAAAGAAAGTCATGTTACATTCGGGTTCATGGAATCTCATTGATGATATTTTAGGCTTCTTGTTAGACTCTATGGTAAAATATATAAATAATCATTTAATTTTGAATTAATATTTGAAATATTATTAGTGTAAAATTTTGATTATATATATATATATATATATATATATGAGATTAAGAGGATGACATATGTTCTTTAAGATATATTTAAATAAACAAAAATTTAATTAAAAAAATTAAAATATGTATTACTATCTTAATCTTATTTGTGTAATTAAAATTTTATACTGACATTATATTAAATACTAACTCTTTAATTTTAAGGATTTTTTAAAATGATAATTTAAGCATTAATTTTTTAAATTTAATTACTTAAATTTAAATAAGTGCATTTTTCACTTTGTTGTTAGTGTCTAACAATGTATTGATGTAACATTGTCACGTTAATTGTCAAATATCACAAGACATTGTCATGTCAATTAACAAGTCATGTGACATTATAAATTTTGAACCTGAATGTAACATCACTTAATTTTTAAAAATTTTTATTTTGATCATTTAACTTTAAAAATTTATAATTTGATTACTAACAAGTAAATCCTTAATTTTTATAAAAAAATAAATAAGAATTTGATATTTTTATTACATAAAATTAAATTATTAAAATTTTATTTTATCATAATTATATCATTTAAATTTGAAAAATGGGTGAATATTATCTAAATGCCAAAATCACTAAAATAACATTTCTTCAAATCTTTGTAATTCAATCCATCCAAATAAATTCAAGTATGTATTTTTATATTTCTTAATGTCAAAATTCTAATTACAAGAAAAGTTTATAATTTTAATTTCATATAATAAAATATAAAAAAGCATAGATCACATAAAATTATTGTAATTATAACTTTGTCATTATGAAATATGAAATTGATTAATATTTTGGTCATTAAAAATTTTATTACTATTTTGATTTTTGGTGTCAATGTGGTCATTGTCACTGTGAATTTATAATGAGTTGATTACTAATATTTATAAAATTTAATATAATAAATATTTTATTATTTATGTTACTTGCTAAAATATATTAGGATAATACTTAAATAAGTTATTAAATTTTATAAAAAGTAGTAATAAACATTCAATATTTTTATTACATAAGAGTAAACTATGAATTTTTATTTTATTATAATTATATTATTTAAATTTGAAAACTAAAAGAATTTTAATCAATTGTTAAAATTATTAAAATATTATTATTTTAAATATTTATCAATAGAAAAATAAAAAAATATTAATCAATTATTTCAAATAAATTTAAGTAACTATTTTAACTTTTTATATTTTTGTTGTAGTGTTTGTGAAATTTTTAATATTTGAATGTCAACCTCAACGTAACTTTACAATGATTTAATCACTAGCAGTTTATGAAATTTAATATAATAATTATTTTATTTTATGTTGTTATGGATATTTCCTTTAATATTTTATTACATGAAATTAAAACTTTAACATTATGAAATATGAAATACTTACTTGAGTTTATTTGGCTGAATTGAATGACAAAATTTTGAAGTAATATTATTTTAGTAATTTTTAAAGCGGATAATATTCTTTTATTTTTTTTAATTTAAATGATATAATTACAATAAATAAAAATTAAAATCTAATTTTATGTAATAAAAATTTATTTTTAATATTTTATAAAATTAAAATTTTATTTGTTTATGGTCAAATTATAAAATTTTAAAATTGAGTGATCAAAATAAAAATTTTTAAAAAGTTAAATGACTAAATTTTATTTATTTTTAAATTTTATAATGTTACATTAACAATGCCACTCGGCTTGTGATATGACATGGTAGTGCTACGTGGCACTTGACAACTGATTCAGTAATATCATATCAGCATATTGTTAGTTATTAATAGTTAAGTGTCAAAAAATACTAATTTAAACTTAAGTGATTAAATTGAAAAAATTAATATTTAAATGATCATTTTAAAAAAATTTTAAAATTCAGTAATTATTTAGGTATTTTATCATAGAATCTATAACATCAATGATTTATAAATTACAACATTTATAACACATTATTAAAAGAATATTCCGATAAATTCATCATTTGACACATGTCTTTTTGGATAAAATGATCGTGGAGGGTATTGCGAATTAGGATTTGAATTTATAACATAGGAAAAGATCTTTTTCACTATTTCAAAATTAGTGAAAGTTTTCATTAAAGGTGAATAATGTACTTCTAAATAAATTTATTATTGATATTTAATAATTTTAAATTAGATATAAAGTAAATAAAATTTAATTAAAAATGTAAAAATAACTTGAACAAATATTAATTATAAATTTAATTGAAATTGAATTTATCACCTTTAAATAAAATAATGAAATTTTTACTTATTTTAAAATAATAAAAATGATCATTTCCCATATTACATAATAACATACTATTAAAAGAATCCCAAAAAAAATTTCACTTGACATGTATCCTTTTGAATAAAGAAAAAATTTCTTTTGATTGTGAAGGGTGTTAAAGGATTTGGCTTATTAGGAATTGAATTAAAAAATTTAATAAAAATAAACATGTAATTAATGCAATATAAAAATAAAATTAGAGAAATTTTGAAAATTTTAGAATACTAAACATTTGAATATGTATATTTATCTTATAAATGAATCTTAATTATAACTTTCATTTTGTTGACAAGTATCTTGAGATACATATGGGTTTGTGGACAATTTAATATTTTTACAAGAGTAAATAAATTTTTTTTGTAATTTTTTAGATATTATTAGATGAAATTATTTTTTAAGATTGTTAATGTAATTGAACTATTGCAATAATATTAACTTCTATAAATTTTTTAAATAAAATTAAATAATTATTAAATTTAATTGAACAATTTTGATATATCGATAAGAGTAGATTGTTTTTTTGATAATTTTTAAATTGTAAATGGGATTGAATTATTAAAAACTCTTAATATTACTAAAAACTTTTAATTTTTAAGAAAGTTATTAATATTCAATAATTATCAAATTTAAGTGAGTAATTTTGGTAATTATACAATAATAAATATTTTTTTATAATTTTTCAAAATTGTTAATGGAATTGTATTATTAAAAACTCTAATATTTTTTAAGAGCTTTTAATTTTTCAAGATTCTTAGAGAATTAAATTATTGCATCATATATAAAATTTTATGAAACTTTCTATTAACAAAATAATATTGTCCCAAAGTAAAGCAAAAGGAAATTATCCTAGTGAAAAGTTTGGAAAAAAAAAATCCCTTTACAGTCCATTTTTCCTTCTCCACATTTTGCTTGTCACTCTCCCTTTGAGCCTCTCTATCAAAGTATAATTGAGTTTATAAAATACAAATCTTTTCTTTATGTGGGTCTCGGATGCCCAATGCTTGGCTTAGGATTTAATGTTAAGTAAGGGTCTACTTAGGCAATTATTTATATTTTTTTTAATATTTTATTACATGAAATTAAAATTAAATCTTGACGTAATAAAATATGAAATACCTACTCGAGTTTATTTGATTGAACCGAATGATAAAAATTTAAAGTAACATTATTTTAATAAATTTTTTAAGTAGATAATATTTATTTATTTATTTTAATTTAAATTGTATGATTATAATGAAATAAATAATTTATAATATAATTTTATGTAATACAAATATCAAATAATTATTCTTAATTTTTTATAAAATTTAAAAACTTATTTGTTTGTTAGTAATTAAATTACAAATTTTAACAAATTTTGTAATATGTTGATTGTAATAATTAAAATAATATATATTGGTTGTGATAATTAAAATTAAAATAATAATTTACAAATTTAACCTATAACACAGGCAAAGGCCAAGGCAATCGCAGGGAGGCAAAAGGCGTCTATTGGCAGTCCCAAAGGACTCTTTCATCATTTTTAAAACCCCCACTTCTCATCTTCCTCGAAAAGCAAAAGAAAATAATGGCTCATTCTGCTGTATCCCAGGTTTTTTTTTTTTTTCTCTCTCTCTCTCTCATTTTTTTAATCTTATGATATCTTTTGCTGCTCTTGAATTTATCGAAATGGGTTTCCTTGCAAGACTGGGATTTTGTTTTTTGTTTTTCAGATTTCTGTAGCTGTTCCCGTTGGAAGCGACGTTTCTCTAAGGAGATCTGTATTTAAAAAGGTACTGGTTAATTAGCAATAAGGTCAGTGCAGTTTGGTTTAGTTGCAGTAATGGATGGTTAGATCATTGGAAACACGAAAAAGAGAGACGAAGGTGACGGAGTTTAAAATTTTAGCAAAAATCATATGTCGGTTTAAAAAAAAAAGTATTTTATGTTTTTGTGTCGACGCGAATTATGATACGAATATATATATTATCAGTATTTTACACTACATGAATATATGAATTGCCAGGTTTAAGTTAGAGCATATGATCTGTTACGTGTTTGAATTTGTCAACTGAAATTTTATTGATCTTAACTACTCTAATGCACTATTGGAGTTAGAATTTATGTATGATATTGAAATGCAGTTAATGTTTTAAGTATTGGTGTTATCTGAGACTGAGAGTGGCCATGATTGGAAAAAGAAGAATAACATGGCCATCTTTGCTGTATTATATTACCGTGTTAATTGTCAAAACCAACTATACAAATATAATGCCTTGCTTGTGATTTCTTCTTTCGTGGCAAGCTTCAATTTCCAACTTCTGCCATGCCTCAAGGCTGAAGAAGTGTCCATCATGCTGCATTTTGCCTTTACATTGAAATGATAAAGCCAAATGATCATCACTTCTTCTCCTTGCTTTTTTCTTTTAATATGTCAAAGCTGCTGACTGCAAAAGAATCATATAGCTCTTTCATAGAATCATATAGCTCTTTCATTTCTTCGTTCTTCTTTTAAAATATTGCTCGTACTTTTGCCACTCTTGAACAAGTTCAAAATCCTCTATAATCGAAGTTGCTGATGGTAATTAAATAGCTAAACAGATCATTGTTCTAGTGAGATGCTATCTGGTTTATGCCTCTGGAATAGGGGAGTAGGTTATGGATACAAGGGTGTTGAACTTCATTTGGCAGCTCAAGTTTTCTCTTGCTTCATTAATTTTATATGGTGTTTGTCTGTTATAATAATGTACTTTTCTCATGCATATGCATCTTTGAACACATTTACAATTGCCAAAGTGAGTATGTTCGTCACATGCGGCATGTGTTGAGTGACTAAGCTTTGCCATAGAGAATAGTATTAAGTGATTTGCTTCTGAAGCTGTTTCTTTTATAAATATTGTTGGTGCAAGAACTGAAATAGAGTTGCACTATTTACCAAGATGGCATGTCAGGCCCACTTCTCTTTATCCTCTAAGTTAACCTTCCACATGGTGTGTATGGTAAATTATTCGTAATAAAGAAGCACTTGACTTTGTTGCAGAGGAACAGTATAAGCTTTAGTGACAAGTCATGGGCTTCCATCTTATCTTTGGATTTGAAATCGCGAAATGCACAGAAGATCAATCAGTACGTGGTATGCATGTCATTGCAACAAACCAGCAAATCCAAGGTTACAGTTTCACCTTTAGAGATGGAAACTGCAAAAGAGCCTCCACTAAATTTATTCAAGCCCAAGGAACCTTACACAGCTACCATTGTTTCTGTTGAGAGACTGGTTGGTCCAAAAGCACCAGGTGAGACTTGCCATATTGTGATTGATCATGGTAGCAATGTACCATACTGGGAAGGGCAGAGCTACGGTGTTATCCCTCCTGTAAGTCCCTCTAATGTAATACTTTTTTTTTTTTTTTTAACTGTTTTCAGATAGTTTAGTGCAGTTAATCTCTAACTCTTATGCTTAGAATATTTTAACTTCAATGCTTATATTAAAGTTGCATTGATGATATATCATGCTTGGAATGTAGGAATCAGATGGTTTTTTTACTTTTGAATATCAGGATCGCAATGTTTATTATGGCTAATTCTAGTTCATTGTCATTCTCCTGTCATATCCATTAGTGGCTTTCGATCTCATAGATTGAAGTCATATGTATTCTTTGAACTTCTTGTTTTAGTTTCTACTTTATAGATTTCCTTTCTAAAATTTCCCATTTATTCTCTGATTGGATTTTCCTTTTTTCTTTTATTATAGGGTGAAAATCCAAAGAAACCAGGTTCTTCCCACAATGTTCGTCTGTATTCCATTGCGTCATCCAGGTATGGAGATTCTTTTGATGGCAAGACAGCCAGTTTGTGTGTTCGACGTGCTGTCTATTATGACCCTGAGACCGGAAAGGAGGATCCTTCAAAAAGAGGTGTATGTAGCAATTTCCTATGCAACACCAAGCCTGGAGATAAAGTTCAGATCACTGGTAAGATTCTTTAATAAAGTGGAACATTCATAATAAAGCACTGGCCTTCAACATATCTTGATATTACCATAGGGCCATGGCTGGAATCACCTAGCATACAGCTATTGACGGTAGTAATCAATTGAAAATTGCATTACAAAAACCTAGGGTTTGGTGGTTCAGAAAACAGAGGACAGTGTTTCTCTGTTACTAACTTCTACTGTCCTGATAGCTTTATTAGGTCTAATTAATGTCTAAAGGAATGTTCTTTTGGATGTTCCAATCAGATGGTTACTGAATTGCTTGCATTCCAACCAATTGTGCATTATTGTTTTGGTTGTTTTCCACTAAGCTTGTCTTGGCATTATGTTATCAAATACTAATTCGTATTTTAATATTTTTCTTGGTAAAGTTTGTCGAATTATGTTCTTTTTTTCGTTTTTTCCCCGCTTATTGCTGTTCGTTAAATTATAGACTTTACAGGAAAATTGGTGATCAGAACTGACTAAATATCTCCTGTTAACTCCAGTAGAATATTTTTGCAGGCCCCTCTGGCAAGATAATGCTTTTGCCTGAAGATAACCCAAATGCCAACCACATAATGATAGCTACTGGCACTGGTGTTGCTCCATTCAGAGGCTACCTGCGTCGCATGTTTATGGAAGATGTTACATTCAAGTTCCGCGGACTTGCATGGCTTTTCCTTGGAGTAGCCAATAATGACAGTCTCCTTTACGATGATGAGTTTACCAAATACGTTCAGGACTACCCAGATCACTTCCGATATGATCGAGCTCTTAGTAGAGAGCAGAAGAACAAGAGTGGGGGCAAGATGTATGTTCAGGATAAGATTGAGGAATACAGTGATGAAATTTTCAAGCTCTTGGATGATGGAGCACATATATATTTCTGTGGTCTTAAGGGAATGATGCCTGGGATCCAAGAAACACTGAAGAGAGTTGCGGAGCAGAGAGGAGAGAGCTGGGATGAGAAGCTTTCACAGCTCAAGAAGAACAAACAATGGCATGTAGAAGTCTATTAATTTATTCATGCCCTGCCTCTAAGAGATGCAGCAATGTAGCCATGGTAGACAATTTGGCATTTTCATTTTTTTATGGGCTTCACACGAAAACCTTGATTTAGCTGTCAGCATACATTTGTATGATTAAATAATTGAGCTAGTTTCTTGATTAATATAAAACTATTAAACATCTCCTTTGTTTCTTCTTTCATTATTATCATTGTTCAATGCCATCCAACCAGAATTATTTTCCTCTTTAAGTTTTGAACTTTGGGTTCAACTTGGAAAAAAATACAACCAGGTGATTCATGTTCTTTAGAGTTGGCAAAGCTGACTTTAATCCATAAAATTTGTTTAATTTAAGAGAATTCAAAGCTGACTTGAATTCTAGTTGAATGTTATTCAACTCGATTTGATAAAAAAAAATCAATAATTTTAACTCATTTAACTTGAAGAAATCAAAATCCTTGATGTTGCAATTGAAAACATATTTAAAAAAAAAAAATTGTTAACGTCAATATATTCCTTCAAACTTTTTCATGGAAAATTACATTATTATTCCAATTAGTGGAAGTATTCATTAGAAGTTGAATACTTCCAAATTTATTTCGGTTTTAGGCAGGTTTTTGTAAAATTAAAAAATAAACACTTTGACAAAAAATTTTCTTTATTAATTAGTACCATATAATGACAACAAATACCGCTTTATTAAATAGAAAAATAAAGGTTGCATTTCTTCCATAGTTTTCATCACCTTTTGGCTTTTGAAAAGCATACCTTTTCATTTTCTCTCTCTTTCTTACCCAAAACTCTCTCTGGATATCCTTGAATTTTCAATTTCAATTCAGTGGTAAATTCTCAAACACCTCTTTCAGATCTTTCGTTTCATTTTCAAATTGATTTTGACTTTGTTTTCTTTTTTTTTTCTCTAATGAAATTTTGATTATTGCTTGGCTTCGGTTATTTATTTGTTCATGTAATCCTTTCCGTTAATGATCAACAAACTTTTGAATTTTGATATTTAATTCACTTTCAAATGTTTACAACTTTTAGCTGATTTCGTGAATATGAATGATTTGCTCTTCTCTGTTTGTTGATGGAAAAATGATAGGAAACGAAAATAAATTACAATTTTTCTAAATCTTTTTGGGGTTTTTTTTTTTTTTTTTTTTATAAAAGGTATTTCCATATTTCTATTATAAACGATTTCATCTCAAACACGTACTTTCTGTTTTAGAATATTGTTACAATTATTTCATTTGACGTTTTACCTTGATTTATTTGTCAATAATTGATTTTATTGTTATTATTATTATTATTCTGGTATTTCATTTCTCTTTAGAATATGCAGTCAAAAGACAAAAGGAACAGAGAAAAGTCTTAATTTTAAGTAAATTACATTTAGCTGATTTAGATTGGTTTGTGTTTGTGTTTTTGTTAGTCTTGAAAGCTTGCTTGTTGGATGATTGTGGGTTGGTAGCAGAGCAATGAGTGGAGTCAGGAAATCTACCTCAGGTTGGTATGCTAATATTACATCAATCAGTTCAATAGAATGGTTTCAAAATGAATTATAGATAGATAGATAGATAATCCTGTAAATTTATAAGGAAGAACATAGGTTGGGAGTTTTTTGACTAAATTTTGGTTAAGTTCCCTTCAATAATTTGCCAAATGACAAGTTTGCCAAATTTTTAATTATTAGGTATGCATCATGCGTGGGACATTTGCACACGTGGTCTCAAAGTAATTGCATTAGGTCTTAGCATTATTTTGTGGTTGGCCTGTAAAATAAGGTGAAAAATGTAATGGTTTTCTTTAAGAGAGCTAATCTTTTAGATTTGTCTTTGTAAAGTTCAGTTGTCAACTTCTTTTCTTCACTACGAAGTGTTAAAACTTGTGTACATAAAGGCCTAAGATTTAGAATGGTGGTTGAGAATGAAGGGAGAAATTCATATCCTTACTGCCACTCATTTCTTTTTTGTTCTTCTTCTCGTTTCGGTCATTCTTGACGAAATTGGATTTGCCACAAAATACAAACACTTATAATCTGGTTTTGCACTGTGATCAAACACTAAAAAGCCTAATAGTTAATTTTTTGGTTTTGCATTGAGTATAAGAGGCTAGGGATTCCCCAATTTGGTGAATTGAACCTTAATAGGCATAATTACATTTGTTTTTCTGGACAACATCTCTGTCCTCTTCCTTAATATGTTGATTTTTTAATGCATTTTTTTGCTGAATTTTGTGGAAAATGTGTCTTTCCTTTGCAGCTAATAGAAGATTGAAGGACTTATTGAAACAAACTGATAATCGCATTTGTGCTGATTGTGGTGCTCCAGATCCAAAGTGGGCGTAAGTATTACCGTTACAGCATATTTAGATTTTCCTATTCATTTCTATTCATATGAATAGGAGATACAGTGATGAATACATGTCTCTTTGTTATCTTTGAAGTATGAATTCAATGCAAAGCTTAGAACCTAACCACATCAAGCATGTGTATTTATGTTTGATTGTAACATAAGGAAGGATTAAGAAAATCACTTGAGAAATGTATTTTCAGATCAGCAAATATTGGTGTCTTTATATGCATGAAATGTTGCGGTGTGCACAGAAGCCTTGGTACGCACATCTCCAAGGTGAGTACCGTATGTTGCATCTAGTTTAATATTTTTCTTCATGGAATCTTGACCCATCATTGGGGAAATGTATGAGGGGTTTTCCGTCGGCTGTTTATGACATGCATGGTTATATAATTTATCATAGGCAATTTGTTATCTGAGCTTTAGCATGGGAATCTTAATATAATTAGATAAATCAGTACGATTAGAAGATCCAAGTATCGGGCGATAGGTGTGAACTTTGATAATAGAACCAGCGGCATAGCTGTGAATTTTACACAATTGATATATGAAATGTTTCATGATATAAATGAGAAGAAAAACAAATTTAATCAATTACTATGCGAACTAATGAGTCTAACTGCTACCCTATTTAAGATAACCACTGACTGATTCAGAATGAATGTCTGTGTTCATTTGCATACTTGTGTATCTTAAAAGCATCCCTGGTCTTAACCTGGTCGAAGCTGGGAAGAACATTCTTGGATCAAGATGAAAATATAATTATCTTGAGGATCAATTTCATTTCAGCTGTTAAATAAATCTTGTTTCTTTTTATTGTGTTTCCTTATAAGCTTGTGGGATGCGATCAAATTGTCATGCAGAACTGATACATGGCATAAAAGCATTTATCTGTCAACTGGAATGGTATCAGTTGGTTGTTACGAACATAATTCCAGTTGAATCTTTCATATGTATAACTGAAGTCATTCACTTGTTTATGTTATCTTTGTAGAATCTTTTAACTGTGGATTGTTGTGATGTATTCGCCCTTTTAAAGGCTTAACTTTACAGTATTATGTTTTTCTTTTTACTTTTATAGTTATATTATCATTATTTTGACCAAATTGATGTCTATATCATTCTTGCAATTCCTCTTACATAATATTATATGATACTTTGAAACTTCATTTTCTTGTCTTTTTGTTCTATCCTTGTCCCTTCTTTTATTTTTTTTTTTTATTTTCTGATGATATCAGGTTTTATCTGTGGCATTGGATGAATGGTCTGATGATGAAATTGATGCCATGATTGAAGTTGGAGGAAATTCCTCTGCTAATGCAATCTACGAGGCCTATATACCTGAAGGTTATTCAAAGCCTGGTCCTGATGCTAGTCATGATGAGCGGAGGAGATTTATCAGGTTAGAGTTCAGACAAATGTAGAATCTCTCATGTTGAGCTTTTCTTTGTCACTTCTCTTGGATACTATATGTGATCTAAACCTATTTTCCCATTTATACTATTCCTTTTCTTGGCACATCTTTTTTGGGTTTAGATAGAAAGGCAATGCTTAACTACAGTAACCTATCATGACCTACCATTCAACCTATTTTATAATTGCTCTTTCTGTGTTTGTTCTGGAAGCATATAGCAGATTTGACAGATCATAGCTTAGATGTCATAATAATTACTTATTTCAAATCTTCCTGCAGGTCCAAGTATGAACTTCAAGAATTTTTGAAACCTAGCTTGCGGATAACATCAGGGAAAAGTTCTTCTGCTTCTCATCGATCAAGCTTATCTGGAAAGATTTTGGATAGTTTCCAGTTAATGTCATCACAAGAATCGGTAAATTCATTTGCACTTTGTTTCTTCCAATCTGCTTCATTGTCTCAGGAACCTTTAGGAAGATCGTGCTGCTAATGATGTAAAGAGATAATATGGTCACTTGTCGAATAGCGTGACCTGAACATGTGGATGGGATCCTTCTGTTGCATTCTGTCCATAGGTCCATTTTGCATTCAGTTTTATTTGTCTAAATCCATAATTAGTGAGGGTATATATTTTATGTGCTGCTTGTTTACATGATGTGAGTTGGTTCGTGTTTACTATTTTGGAAAAGTAAGTCTACTAGTAAAACCTAGCAAAGCCCCATGTTAACTGTTGCAAGTTGTGACTGTATTCTTCCTTACAAAAGTCAAGTCAGTATTAACATTAACAATTAAAATACCTCTAGATGGATTTAACTGGCTATATGGTGCTGTGTTTAATAACTTCAATCCGTTTGGCGTGAAAGTTGTAACAGGTAGGCATGGTAGAATTTGTTGGGTTACTGAAGGTCAAAGTGGTAAAAGGCACAGATTTAGCCATCCGGGATATGATGACAAGTGATCCTTATGTTGTCTTGACTCTTGGGCAGCAGGTTAGTTGCTCCATGTCTTAGGCTTTTATTCTCATTACTGAAACAGAAAATTTCTGTCAAGGCTATAAACTATGTTGTTGCTACCTCTTGATGATCTCAAGTTGTAGACCTTTATGAATTATGCACTCTTTCTCTCTATGTGCATTTGCATACATGGATTTGTGGGCATTTATGCTTGTAGATTACATCAGTATCAGTTCTGCATGTGGATCAAACTGTTAGTACCATTCAGTCGGTTGGATGGTGGTTCAGACTTCAGACCTCTATTAAAGCCTTTGTTATATTTCATATATTTTTCCTTTCAAATTTGTGCTACAAACATATACCTCCTGGATATGCTTTACATGTTTTCTTATGTGTTTGTTTTCCTATCAAAATGAGAATAAGGTCTAATTGCTTTTAGTGGTACTATTTCTTTTACTAATGACAACATTGGGTCTTTGATCTTATTAGACTGTTCAGACGACTGTAATAAAAAGCAACTTGAATCCAGTTTGGAATGAGGAACTCATGCTGTCCGTTCCTCAAAAGTATGGGGCTGTGAAGTTGGTAAGTGTAGTTTTCTTCTCAATCCATGTTATTAAGAAACTTTATAGTTGTTTCCTCAAAAAAGAGAAAAAAAAGAAAGTTTTTAGTTGCAAAAAAGTTTACTATTTTTTAAAGAACTATTACGCTTTGTATGTGTGCAATATTTTAGAATCGTGGTTCTACCTATTTATGAATTTCTGTAATGGTGGTGAGGCTGATTGGGTTGGATTTGGTTCAAGTTATATGAATTTCATGTATTTGGCTCTGTTTTAAGGATTGTTAGGCTCAAGTTGGTCTGGTTTCGTGTTGGCTGGGTTTGTGTCATTCAGGTTTTGGGTTGTTCCAGTTCATTTTGCGTAGATTCTGGTTCTTGAAGTTTTAAATCAATTTGACCTCTATGAGAACAGTTTTTCGGTGGATTACTTCATACCAACTTTTGTTGCCTCTAGGTGCATTAAAGCAGTAATAAGGTAGGACAGTGGTGAGGTCAGGTTATTTCAATTTAACTTCATTTGAGGTATCTGGCCATTCATCTGAGTCAATTCAGATTTGGGTTGCATTTTCAAGTTAATAAATTTTGAGTCAATTTGGGCTGAATAAGTCTGGTTTTCAACTAGTCAGATTCATTTGTGCCAACTCTAGTATTAGAAATGGAAAATTTTCCATCTTACTTTAAATCCTGAAATATTACCTGACTTCCAGATGTTTTGCCGCTTAGTTTGCTTCTGGACCACTTTATAGTTTTACCTGGGAACTTTGATGAATTGCACATTTTCATGATTACCGCCCAGCACTTTTCAGCTCTAAAAGCTTAATGTGTACTTGACGTATATTTTTATTTTCTGGCCACTCTTCCTGTTCCTTTGATAAAAATGATGTGTATTGAAGAGGAAATAAAGGGAAATGTATACTGGGATCATGGAGCAGACCTCCTTTTGTCACTATATCTGATGAAAAAGGATGGAATGAGAAATGCGGGATTGTTTGTCATGATTGATTTATTAGAATCTGGAAATTGGTTTGTCATGTAGGGTCTAATCAAGAAGCCCACATTTATAGGTGGTGGATCCCTACGTAATTCTTTGTTGTGATTAGACAATTGTAATATTGTAGTAAAAAGAATTTTAGGTGAAAATGCTCCCGTCCAACAGTGTAACCAACGGATGATATTATTTTATGTTTTCCCTTAGTTATCAATAAAGCTAGACATGCATTTTAATGCTTTACGTAATTATACTTTCTGTCATTGTTTGTTGTTTAGAATGACAAGAAGTGTGGTTGAACTGCTGATGTATGCATTATTATTCATTCATATTAGATTTGCTGTCATCTCAAGCATGATTATGATGGGGTTCCTCTAATCTGTTCAAAACTTGGACATTGTAGCAAGTATATGATCATGACACGTTCTCGTCTGATGACATAATGGGAGAAGCAGAGATCGATATCCAGCCATTGATAACATCTGCAATGGCATATGGGGACCCAGAAATGTTTGGAAATATGCAGATTGGAAAATGGCTCAAGTCCCATGATAACGCCCTATTAGAGGACAGCATCATCAACATTGTCGATGGGAAGGTGAAACAAGATGTGTCACTGAAGCTCCAAAACGTTGAATCTGGAGAAATTTATCTAGAAATAGAGTGGCTGCCACTTGATCAGTAGACTGAGCATAAATAATGTAATCATTCATTGTTCCTCCAAATAAATTCTGTAACATTGTTTGTTGTTTGATATGGATGGATATGGAAACACATGCTTGTCTTGTTTATTTTATTTTTTCATTTAGACTTAAACTTTCAAGAATTAATTTCTGGCTCCTTGGCTTCTTGTCCAATTTTGCTGAAAGGCCTCTCTGCTCCAAATTAAAATAAAATATGTAATATAATATAAAAAATTTATTTAGTATATAATTTATATTATACAGTTTAATATATTGAATTTATATTTGATGTGTTAAATTTTATATATTGTTAATGCATCATATGTGTCATCTTATTAATTTAGAAATTAAAAAACTAAAACTCCTTAAAGATAAAGTTGAAAAAATTCAATAATTATTTTTATTTAATTAAATAAAAATTTTATTTAATTTAATTTTTTTAATTTATAAAATTAATGAAATGACAACTTATGATACATTGAAGGTGTATAATTATGCACAGTACATTAAATGTAAATTTAGTATATTATTTATCTCATTATAAAAATATTAATAAAATATTTTATATAATAAAAGTTTTTTTCAATATTTAAAGATATTTTTCTATTAAATTTATAAAATGCTAATTTTATCTTTCCTAAGCTTTTAAAACAACTTTGCACTAAAGTTGTTGCTATAAAAGCTAAGGCCGCCAGACCAACCAAACATGAAACGTACTCTTACAAGTCGCTTCCGGACGCTGGTGCTTTTGGCTTCTGTTTTCTGTTGGTATCTCCATTTTTTTTTTCCTGTTCGTCATTGAATTTGCCTATGAAAGGTTTTCTCTTTTTCTTCTAATAAAAAAATTATTTTCAGGAAAGCAATGAGAAATGGCAGCAAATTCTGTTACTCAAAGTCTCAACGTTTATTCAAAACTTTTAACTGTTAAACTATGGAACTCACGTATAAAGGAGGCTGTAAACCAAAACAGTGCCCACAAAGCGCTTCTTCTCTTTCGCCAAATGAAGCAAAAAGGGTTGGAACCAAACAACTTAACCTTTCCTTTCATTGCAAAAGCTTGTGCCAAGATTTCCAATCTCAAATATTCCCAAACCCTCCACAACCAAATCTTGAAATCCCCGTTTGGAAGCGATATTTTCGTACAAACAGCATTAGTTGATATGTACATAAAATGTGATCAAGTGGATTATGCATGCAAAACGTTTGAAAGAATGCCTGAAAGAGATTTGGCTGCTTGGAATGCAATGCTTATTGGTTTTGCTAAGTTGGGTTTTCTTGATAAGTTGTTAAGTCTTTTTGGTGGGATGACGTTTGCTGGGATTCACCCTGATTCGGTCACTGTTGTGGGACTTAGTCTGGGAGTTTTGAGTACAAGGAATTTGGAATTAGTGAAGGGAATTCATTCGTTTGGGATTCAAATTGGGGTTGCTGTTGATGTTACAGTAGCTAACACTTGGATTGCAGTATATGCCAAATGTGGTGACTTAGCATCAGCAAAGAAGGTTTTTGATGAGATTGATGCTGTGAGGACTGTCATCTCTTGGAATTCCATGATTGCTGGATATGCCCACTTCGAAAATTTTGCTAATGCTTTTGATTTATATCGAAGGATGTTGGTGGATGGAATTAAGCCAGATGCAAGCTCTATTGTTAGTTTGATTTCGTCATGTGTGCAACCTGAAGCACTATTTCAAGGAATGCAAATTCATTCTCATGGAATCCAATTAGGTTGTGACTTGAACTTATCTGTAACCAATACTCTTATATCCATGTATTCCAAGTGTGGAGATCTTAATTCTGCAAGATTCTTATTTGATTTCATGTCTAATAGGACATGTGTTTCATGGACTGTCATGATTAGCGGGTATGCTGAGAAAGGGAATATGGATGAGGCAATGACCTTGTTTTATTCAATGGAAAAAGCTGGTGAGACAGCTGATTTGGTTACTGTACTTTCTTTGGTTTCAGGTTGTGGCAAGACAGGATCCCTTGAGCTTGGAAAATGTATTGACAGTTATGCCAAATCTAAAGGGTTTAAAGAGGATGCAATGGTCTGTAATGCACTAATAGATATGTACTCAAAATGTGGTAGTATATGTGAGGCTCGAGAGGTCTTTCGTACCATGCCCGAGAGAACTATTGTTTCTTGGACTACCATGATCTCTGGTTGTGCCGTGAACGGAGAATTTGAAGTAGCTTTGGACCTTTTCCATCAGATGAGGGGTTTGGGCTTCAAACCTAACCAAATAACATTCCTTGCTGTCCTGCAAGCTTGCACTCATGCAGGCTTTCTTGATAAAGGATGGGAATTCTTCAATATGATGACCACAGAATATGATATCTATCCTGGGTTAGATCATTATTCATGTATGGCGGATCTTCTTGGACGTAAAGGTAAGCTAATAGTAGCATTGGAGTTTATTTTAAATATGCCAATTAAACCAGATGCTGGCATATGGAGTGCATTGCTTAGTGCTTGCAAGGTTCACCACAACGTAGAGATTGGTAAGCATGTGGCAAGTCGCCTATTTGAGATGGAGCCTCAAGTTGCTGCTCCATATGTGGAGATGGCAAACATATATGCATCAACTGGAAATTGGGATGAAGTTGCAATGATAAGATTGTTGATGAAACATAATAACGTGAGCAAGTCTCCCGGGCAAAGCCTTGTTCAAGTTAATGGAAAAACACATAGATTTACTGTTGAAGATAGAAGTCACCCTGAAGGTGTGCTTATATATGCGTTGTTGGATTATTTAGCTTTGCAATTAAAAGATGATAGATATCCCCTGTATTTGAGGGATATTCCTGAAATGGAATTGGTTTGAATCTTTATTGATTTTAACATTTTACTCGGACTGATATCCCCTGTATTTGGGGATATTCCTGAAGTGGAATTCGGTTTAGTGATCTTCCCACATGCAGTGCATCAAAATTGGGGGGAAGGTCAAACTCTTCCATCAAAAGAAAGAAGATGGTCACTGTATCTAGAGGGAATTTACAAACATCATCTGAAATCTAGCTTGAAGGAAATAACTACATGTACAGACGATGGGGAGAGACTTGAAAACTGTTGAAGATAAAAGCATCTATGCCTGAGCGTGGGTATTATAGTCTACAACAATTTGGTATCAAGGCTCAGAAGAGTTTAAAGGTCTGCTTTCCATTCTCCATCCCCTTGTCAATTGGTTACAATGCAATTTTCAACAGTAGCATAAATACTGGGTGATCAAACTGTTGGGGTATTCTGTAGTTGCTTAAATTGTTTTGCATACATAAGCTGGATTATTCCTATAATAATTAGATTGTCAACTTGTATGTTGATATCAGTTTGTGCATTACCATTTGTTTTTAGAAAATTTCTGGTACAAACAATTTTCCCAAAAATTTTCCATCATTGTTTAGATGTTCATTGTTCAGAAAGGGCCTGTTAAGTCGTGTTTACTTCTATGCATTTCTTTATCTTTTGCAGGTTATAGGAAGCATTAATAGATATGACATGGACTTTGGGAAAGAATTGTTTTGATGTGTACTGGTAAACTCAATCACACATAATCAAGCATGCTTTTACTATAATGCCTTTGATCATTTCTCTACTCATCTCCTTTGAGTATTACTTTATTCGAAAATCACTAATTCATTCGTGTATGGTGAGTGGTTGAATAATCTATTTATTAAAAAGCTAATGGCTAAACATGTATTAACTTTCAATTCCCTTGTTCTTTATCATTAGTTGATATTGTTGCTTCTATTCTCCCTTATAATGCAACTTCCTGGTGGCACAACATCAATGTAACGATTAAAAGAATGTCTTGAGAAAAGGCTTCCTGGTGGTATCATTTCATTTATTTTTTGTTTATGCAAAAATGTTGCATCTAGTACTTTCTCAAGGAGTTCACCAAAACTTGATTTCATATCATCATAGTTCATAAATTACTGGTTTTTTTAATCTTCAATTCCACCATTAAATGTCATTTCATTGCTGTTAGAAGATGAGTTTCAATTATCATAAGGTAGGAAGCATGGACACAGACATGAGATATGGGTATGGTATCACATTAATACTGTGATATTAACAGTTTTTTGAAAAATTAGGATATGGATTTGATGAGCTTAAAGATATATGCAGCCTGAGTTATATGCCCTAACTTATTTTTGGTTGGTGCAAGCTTCCATCTCTTCCAGAACTAGCTCACTTCTTCTCTAGCCAATGCCCTCTAGCATTTACTCTCTATTCTTGGTTTTGAATTTACACATAGATCCATCTCAACCATTGGCCTATTGTGCACCGGTTAGGAAAAATGAGTTTCTGGATTTATGAGAGATTAAAACTTGACCACGAAGAAAGTAAGTGTAAGTAATAAAAGATGATATGAAGGTTAAGGAAATAGATGAAATGTTATTTTTTATAAAAATGAGTGGGATAAGAAGATTTAAAACTGCGACCTAACATAAATTTTTTTTTTTAGTTTTTCGTATAGCCGATCTCAGGCTTATAGGATTTAAGGCTTTGTTGTTGTTATATCAAAATTAGGTGAGGAAAATGAATGATGGCCTTTATAACAGCCTAGCCAACCCTTCTCTGCGTTTTGGCTCTCATATTTCTCTGGCAAGGCACAGCGGCTACTGTTATGACAGCACTTAAACCCCATGTGGATTAGAGAATCAAAATCAAGAAGGAAAAGAACCCATAGATGAAGGGGATCTTGTATTAGATGCATAAAAAAAAAAAAAAGGGAAATTTTAGATCCTTTCTCTCAAACCAAGAAAAAGATGTTGCAGAAGAACATGGTAAATCAGACAGAAAGACATGCAGTGTGTCCATGCTGTGGATGGGCATGTTACACACTTATTGTTAGGACTTAGAGCCTCTGAAATTAAAAAACTCTATTATATCAGATAATTTTTTTTAAAGAAATAATATATTGATAAATTCACGTTTTATACATTGTCGGTCAAGCTTAACTGCTTTGTGTATTTTTTTTTTATATATTAATTTTTATTTTTTTAATATACTTTAGAGGTGCATGTTCAAGACAAGATCAGCTAGTAATCTTTCTTTCTTTTTTTTTTTTTTTCTAATCTCATTTTCAGGAATTCTCTCTAAGAAATTAAAAACCGGTCATTCCCAAATTCAACGAGGCTACAAAGCTTCTGCTGCAAGAAAAACACTTTATATGATCTCTCCTAAATAAATTAAAAATAAATTTGATAATTTAAAATACGATGAAATAATATAAATATAACATGATTTAATAGTTTAAAAAAATTACATATAAATTTAATAAAATTAAAAAAATATATTTTATATTTTCATAATAACACAAATTATAATAAATAATATTTATGTAATTTTAATATTTTATATAATATAAATACGCAAACCACTAAATTTATGGAGACATAATAAAAAATATAAATGATTCCAAAATCACTTGGTGCTAATTGGGACTAAACTATTAATATTGTTGGTATTATTTGTGGAATTAGGCGATGATCTCATTCTAATAACGTAAATAAAAGCAGAAGTAGCCAGTAATGCCACACCTGTGACGCCACAAATCAAGCTCCCCAACACCAGCACATGCCTCACGTGATCACTCCCCCACCGATTGCGGCCTGCTCCCACCCACCACGACGTCTCATTGGAATTTATAGCCTTCGGCAGCGCCATCTTAGGCGGCGTCGAAGAGGAGGAATTCGATGTTGGTGCGAAGAAGGACATCATCCCCGGTGACTTGAGCCCAGTCGGCGGCTGGCTCTGGTACTCCAGACCATGATCAGAAGGGCGTAGCTCCCTGGCCGTTGATACCCTGATGATGAGGACGATGATGGTGATGGTGATGGCAGCAGCAATTCTTACTGTGTGGAGAGAAGGCATAGCTGATTATAGCTCTGTTGAGTGAAGGGAAGGCACTTTACAGTTGTCTGTTTGAGACAGATACATAGTACACTGTAATTAGATTAAGGAAGGTGAGCGACGTCGTTTGAGTTGTCAGAACAACTATATTCTATTATTTTGCAGTCAAGCATTCATTCGTGTGAAGGCCGAAAACGCGTGGCTCAATGGGAGGGAATATTTACTCGTGTGTAAATTTGATAATTTAAAATATAATATAATAATATGATATAAATGTGATATAAATAAAAAAAATTAAGATATAAATTAAAATTTTAATAATTATTATATATAAGTTTAATAAAAAAATATTTCATATTTTTATATTTATATAAATTTGAAAATATAAATTTTATATAAAACACAATATAAATATAAAAATTTTAATATTTTATATAATATAAATATATAAATCATTAAATTTACTCAAAAAAATTTTCAGTTGTACTCTTAACTGTCGAAATAATTAATATATATTTATATATATGAGAATTAATAACACCCGTCTCCTTAATATTCTAATCTTTGGAATGTTTTTTGATATCATAATTAAAATATGTATTATAAATATCTATCTTGTATCAACAGGTGTAAATGTTAATAAAATATTAAAATTTTAATTATAATTATTATATTAAAATTTTAATAATTTCAAAAAAATACTTATCTCATAAAATATGTATTATAATTAAAATAACTGTTTAAAATCGTAATGTCATACTTGATATTAACCACAAATGCAAAACAAATGGGTGCTATTATCAATATTCTTGTGTTTCAAAACATAATACATGTAATTAAAATAAGAAAATTTTGTTAAATAAAATTGATTAAATAAGTTTTAATTAGTTAAATTTATTATTTTATTTTGGCATACGTGTTGAGAATAAATTGGAGTTGAGGTTTTTTTTTTTTTGTCTAAGATCTTCAATGTTCGATAATCACTTTCGATTCTGATTAATTCGGAAACGAATTGAGTCGAATCTCATAAAAAAGTAAATTTTTTTAAATTTATTTTTTTCATTCACAAAATTTGAAATTAAAATCTTATTTAAAAAAAATTAAATTTTTTGTCACTTAATCTAACAGACGTTGATAATCGGAGTTGAGTTATACAATAGAAGGAAGTTCTCTTTGTCAATAAATCCACTTATTTCACTTGAATTCAAGACTTTTAGATTTAAACTGTAATCGGTAGGAATAGGATGCCCCTTTACTCATAAGCTGAATTTAATGTTTGAATGTTTTTGTCATTTGTACAACTCATCGCCATGCTAGTTGATTTGGCTTCTGCGTCAGTCCTTTTCACTCAAATAATGCCACGTCACTCAGCAAATTTGTAAACAAAATTTCAATGGCTGACTCATCCTTATTCTGCCACTTGTCTAATGTTAATTAGTCCACAAACAAGCCATGTCATTCTTTTTCCAAATCATCCTATCTTGCCACGTGTCTCTCTTAATAGTCAATATCATCGATGGCATATAAATTATATTAAAATATTTAATATAATATTAAAATTTTTAAAATTTTTAACGTGATATTTAAAATATATATTTATTAACATACGTGATATTTAAATAATTATTTATTTATTATGTGTCATCGTTTGGAAGCCTAGTTACGTTAACGATGAATATTATATTAATTAATGTATTCATAATTTAAGTATTATATTAAAAATTTTAAATTTAAATAATATATTAAATATTTCATTATAATTTAAGAGCTATTTATAATATTAATCACTCTCTTAAATTGAATGATTATATATATATATATATTTAGTATAAACTTTTTCATCAAAATACTTTCTCTTTTACGCAAAAAAGAAAAGGGTACTCAAATTTAAAAACCTGCCATTCCTGCCACAGTTTAGCTTAATTAATTAATTAATGGCAATTATAGTTTGAATTAAACTTTCAATCAAACCATTTAAGTTTTCAAATTTGAGTATCGGTTGATGTCAATTGGCATAAGATTTTTTATTGACATTTAAATATTATGAGTTCGAATGAGTTTATATATGTAGTATTTTCTTCTTCAGCTAGATAAGTATAACAAGAGAGGGATTTAAGTAGATTTGATAATATATAGTGATATGATATGAATACGATAAAAAAAAGTGACATAATTTAAAATTTTAATAATAATTATTATGAGTTTAATAAACAAAAAAATATATTTTATAATTTTATATTAATATGAATTGTGACACATAATTTTTGTATAAAATATAATACGAATATATAAATTTTATTATTTTACACGACACAAATATTTGAATTGTCAATTCTAAACTTAGGGATAAATTAGAATATTAAATTTTTTTTTTAAATCTCTCTTAGCTCATAATTTTCTTCCCATCTTTTAATTTCTCTCTAGGTACCCCACCTTTCTCTTCCTTTAACTTGAATTTCTTTCTTCCGTTTTCAAAAACATGACCAAAGAGCTTTCCACCATTAATGAGCTTACATACAGCTCTGCATCGTAGATTGATCAATTATTTTTTAGTGTAAACACATGCTTAATTTATATTTATTTATGAGTATGTACACATTATTTTCGTACTATAATATAAAATAAATTTAGGTTTTAAAATCATTCAAAATATAATTTATAAATTAGTAATTAATATTAATAAAATATTTTCATTTTTATTTAAATTAATTGTATTCTTTTTATATAATTTTTTAATTTTATTTATCATTTTGTGTTAATAGAATTATTATTCATTTGATTACCTAACTATTTTTACTCTCATGCTATTTTTCCTTCTCTCTCTCTCTTTTCTCTACCAAAACAAAAAGAAAAAGTCCCATGGAATTAAAGGTGACAAATAAGTCAATCAAATTAGGTTCAGGTTCAATTATTTTGATTGGATCATTTTTGTTTAAAAAAAAATTAAATCTTTTCGAATTGGGATCATTTTAAGTTCAGATTAGGTTGGGTTTGTTGGATTTAATAAACCAATTTTTTGAATGATTTCTAAAACCTTTAAATAGAATTTTAAATTTTTGAATGATTTCTAAGACTTTCAAGTAGAATTTTAAATTTTTGAATGATTTTCAAGATTTTCAGGTAGAAATTTAAATTTTTTAAAGATTTTCAAAATCTTTAAACATAATATTTAATTTTTAAACGATTTTCAAGGTCTCCATTTAGAATTTTAAATTTTGTAAATGATTTTCAAGATTTTTAAACATAGTTTATGAGTTCTCCAAGCAAGATTTATAAATCTTTTGAGTTGAATTTACTTTAGTATCGAGATTTATAAGACCTCTAGGTTTAATCTTTAAATCTTTCGGATAAGATTCGTAGTCTTCCTAGTTGAATTCATTTTAATGTTGAAATTTATAAGATCTCCTGGATCAATCTTGAGAAAATTATCGAAAAAAATGGAAAATAGATATGGCATTAGTTAGAAGCATTTTTTAGAAAGGAAAATGTTGAGAATTTTAAAGATTTTCAAGTTAAAAAATTTTAAACACGTACAAAGATCAAGATGAGAAACTTTGTTACAAAGACTTATGGGCACTAAAAAATATAATAATTAAGACCTTTAGGTAAGATTAGTAAGACTTTCGAGAGAAATCTATTTTAGAATTGAGATTTATAAGATTTTCGGGCATAGTTTCTAAGATCTTCAGGCAAAATTTGTTAGTCTTCGAGCAAAGTTTATTTTATTGTTGAAATTTATGAAACTTTTGAGTATAGTCTCTAAGTCCTCTTAGTAAAATTCGTAAGTCTTCTGAACTAAATATACTTTAATATCAAGATTTGCAAGATCTTTGGGCATATTTTTTAAGCATTTCAGATTTTTTTCAAAGTTTCAAAGTTTTTGTTTAGGAGAAGCCTTTCAAAGATAAGATTTTAAAGTTTCAAAACCTCTATTCAAGATAAACCTTTTAAAGTTAAGATTTTTAAAATCTCAAAACTTCTATTTAAAAAGAACCTTTCAAATGTGAGATTTTTAAAATTTTAAAACCTTTGTTAAAAAAGAGCCTTTTAAAGATAAAATTTTTTAATCTCTTAAAAAAAAGAAAATAAAAAAAGTTTCAAAACATCTAATAAGTTAATATAGAAAACAAAACATAAAAAATAGTAACAAAATAAACAAAAAAAACAAAAGAAAATAACTCTAAGCCCCTAATTAGATAAAATTATCATATTTGTTTTTACATTATTTCTAATTTTAAGAAATATGTAAAGAGAGGCAGTCATAAGCACTTAATTTTATCCGAGTTTATTTTAGTCAATCATGATGCTTTAAAAATAGGGACTGAGTTCTTGTCCAAAAGTTTTTTAAGATTTATGAATATTTAAAGATTTTTGAATAAGTTGATTTTTATAATGATGTAAAAAAAAGTAAAAGTCAAAGAAAAAAGTCAAAAGTCAAAAGTCAACTTAGTCAAACTTGATCGAAATTAGTCAATTTTGATCGAAACATGGTCAAATTCAAGGCATTTGTAAGAATCAAACAAAGATATTGGATTCTTGAAAGCTTAAACAAAATTTGAGTTTTGAGTAAAAAAAGGCAAAATGACCAAAATACCCATGATCAGTCATCGAGTTAAAATAGGTCAAGATCTATTAAGATTACTTGGAATGGGTCAAATTTTTTTCATATCCTTATGTTTAGAAAGAAAATCTTAGGAAAAATTGCATTTTGAACTAAAATGATCAAAATGCCCCATGATCAAAATTGGTAAAATTTAGCCAAATTTTGTCAAACTCGGGTCAACCCTTGGAATTCATGATTGAATAAGATTATTAAGGTTTGGGATTAATAAAATTATGATTTGGACATTTAAAAATCATGTTGGACTTAAAAAAAGTGAAATTACAAAAATGTCATTTAAAATGTATTTTCATAATTTGACCTTTTAGGGGTTGATTTTTGTTAAAAACTCCAGATCATATTTAAATATTATTTTATTAGTTTTGATGCATTAAAAATCTTGATTGAATCTCAAAATGGATGAAATTATCAAAATGCTTTTTAAGGGCATTTTTATAATTTGGCCTTTATGGAGTCAATTTTTTCACACAAAGTTATAGATCATAATTAAATATTATTTTAAAATTTTTGGTACATTAAAATTATGAAAATAAATATTGGATCATAAGGTTATAGCAAAATCATAGAAAAAGTTTAAAAATGCTAATTAGGGTAAAATTATCTTTTCACATTATGACATCTGTACTAATT